AAGCGGTGCAACCGCCCCAGTCAGGAGGTGCAACCGCCTGATCCCGAAATTTCGGGAATTGACAGTTTTGAGCTCCAAATTTGAACTGGGTTTGGGCCTATAAATACCCCACCCATTCAGCACAGAAAGCACACAGACATACACCGAAATCTTGATCTCTTTCTATGATTCTTAGAGCTCAAAATTGTTGTAAAGGCCAAAAGTTCTTCCCCCTCTTTTCTTCCAAGTTTTGAGTTGTAAAGAGATGAGAGAAAATTCTGTAAGGGTTGTCTTCTAAGCCCGTCAAAAGGAGTGAAACTGTAAAAGGGTGGTTGGCCTTCGCCTATTGAAGGAAGGCCTCTAGTTGACGTCGGTGACCTCGTCGGTGGAGGAAGCCAAAAGTGGAGTAGGTCAAGATTGACCGAACCACTCTAAATCTCGGTTTGCATTTACTTTGAGCATTTTATCTTTACTGCAAACCTCCTCTGAAGCTTACTGCCTTCTGCGCTTTTACGATCGGGTTTCAAGCCTTTTACTTTCCGAATCAGCGATTAGACGTAAATCTGCTTTTTCGTACGATCATCATATTGCAGATTGCGTTTACGTTTTGAGCTTTACCATAACTGCAAACTGCCTTTATACTCTTGCTTAAACTGCGTTTTGCCTAATCAAATGATTTACGAATCAGCATTTAGACGTAAATCAGTTTCTTCGTACGAACGTCGGATTTCAGTTTGCGCCTATATTCTAGTTTTCATCATATCTGCAAACTGCCTGCATAGATTGACTTTAATCTTGCTTAGAATCGACTTTCACACAGAAATTATTTTTATCGTTCGAACGCAGCTTTCAGTTTTAATCGCAGAAAGTTTTCCGCTGCACTAATTCACCCCCCCCCCCTCTTAGTGCTCTCGATCCTAACACTGGTGAGGTCGGGGCGGGCCATATATGAGTTCGAGTACTGGGTGGCCTATGCTCGCTTTCGAGCGAGGTACCTAGACCTGAAACTAGAGTCGAACCCATTTGCCGAGCACCTGGAGGATCAGGGCGTTGATATGTCGGCAAGCGTCCCCTTTGATGACAGGCCCGAGACCCCTCCTCCGAACTAAGGGCTTTCCCTTTTTTTCTTTTGCTTTGGTCGGGTCGAGTTTTGGAACTATATCGCCCGACCACAATATGTTTTCTTTTTCATCCGAAAAAAAAACTCTTATTTTGGGAATTCTGACTTGTCTTTTCCGGTTGTGGATGTGCATGCTTCGTACAACATATGTCTTCCCTGCACCCCGACTCACTTCTTTTATGGGTAGAACTTTTTTAGATTTGCCGCGCTCCACGTTCTTAGCAGGGGGTTTCCCTCCATAGTCTCGAGTCGGTAGGTCCCTTCTCAGACCATGTCATAGACTCGATAGGGGCCTTCCCAATTAGGCATGAGTTTTCCTCTCGCTCAGGTCGAGTCTCTCACCTCTGCCTTTCGGAGGATGAGGTCCCTGACCTTGATCGGTCGTGGACGAACTTTATGATTGTATATTCGAGCCATTGCCTTCTTATACGCCAGGGTACGCAGGTGTGCCTTGGCTCTTCTTTCTTCGAGGAGGTATAAGTTTGCTTGTAGGCCTTCCTCGGAGCCTTCTTGTTCGTAATTGGAGGTGCGTAGGGTCAGGAACACCATCTCGGGTGGGAGGACTGCTTGAGTCCTAAACGCCAGGCTAAACGGAGGCTCCCCTGAGGCAGTTTTGGGAGTTGTTTGCATTGCCCACAAGACGCTAGGGAGCTCATCCACCCAGGCTCCATGCGCGCCCGAGATCCTCCTTTTGAGGCCCTCCAGAATTGCCCGATTCATTACTTCAGTCTGGTCGTTAGTTTGGGGGTGCGCAACCGAGCTGAACCTCAATTGTATCTCATATGACTAGCAATAGGCCTTGAACTTACGTTGTTGAATTAAGCTCCATTGTCGGTGATGATAGCCCTCAGGATCCCGAACCGGGTGATAATGTTCTTCCATGTGAAGCTTTGGATTTGTTTCTCGATGATGGAGGCCAAGGGTTCGGCTTCAACCCACTTCGTAAAGTAGTTGTTAGTTTGGCAAGTCCCACATAGTCCCACATTAGGAAAATCAAGCTTGTTATCTCCTATTGCAGCTATAAATAAGGGCCTGGGCTTTGAAGTTTAATGCACCACAAGAAAAACCTAATTATTTGCTTTGGGCTTTTCTTGTTTAGTAGTTTCAGGTGTTTTATGACATATGAACATTTTCTTAAGGCATTTATAATTGTCCCTTTTATAGTAGAGTTTTGCTCTTGCTTCGTTCGTGGATGTAGGTCAATTGATCGAACCACATAAATCTGGTGTTCTTGTCTCTTTTATTTTTTTTTTACTTTATTATTTTTATTGGGTTGTCAAATTACCCTTTGGTAAATTTCTTGGGGCCAGCTGATTTGGCACTATAGGGAGCTGAGAACATTCCATGTCAAAGGAAGATCTTGCGGGTATGGATAAGAAGGAAGGAAGATCTTGCGGGTATGGATAAGAAGGCCCGATCAAGTATTATTCTAAATCTCTCTAACGAGGTTTTACGGGAGGTAGCTATGGAGACTACGGCTAAGAGCATGTGAGACAAGCTTAAAGCCTTGTATATGAAGAGGACAGTAGAGAATCGTCTCTACTTGAAGCAGAGTTTGTATATGCTTCGAATGACTGAAGGTACATCTATACTCTCACATCTTGATAAGTTTGATTCCTTAGTTATAGATTTGGAGAATATAAATGTGAAAATTTATGACGATGATAAGATCCTGTTACTTTTGTATTCTCTTCTCCAATCTTTTAAGTATTTCTGTGATACTATGATTTATGGAAAAGAAATAATTTTGTATCAGGAAATTAAATCTACACTAAAATCTAAGGAGTAGATAGACAAGGATATCACTGGGGAAAGTAGAGGGAATCAGACTGAGGGTCTGGTTGTTAGGGGTAGAACGGATAAAAGGGAATTTGACAATAGTAGATCTAAATCTAGATCTAAATCCAGACATAGAAATTTGGAGTGTAGATATTATCATAAAATGGGGCACATTAAGGCTGATTGCTTTAAATTAAAAAATAAATTAAAGCGAAAGGAAAAATTATTGAGAAAACTACTGAGTCCGCTGAAATTAGTGTAGCAACTGATGAGAATATTGGAAATATTTTCTTTGCTACTGATAACAAGACGAGGTCTAAAAATGAATGGATTCTAGATTCGAGTTGTTCTTATCACATATGTCCCAATAGAGATTTGTTTTCCACGTATGAATCTTATAATAGTGGAATTATTTTAATGGGCAATAATGCCGCATGTGATGTTGTTGGTAGAGGTACAATCCGAATTAAAATGCATGATGGTATTGTGAGGACGCTCACTAATATTAGACATGTTCCTAATTTAAAAAATAATCTAATCTCTTTAGGTACCCTGAAGGATCTTAGGTGTAAATACATAGCTGAAGGTGGAGTTAGACATGTTCCTTTATAAATGGTCATTTTATGGCAGAAAAATTGATTTTGTTTCTTGTCTATTTGTTCCTGCCCAGTTTACAGGTGGTGTCTGAAAGAAGAACCAACATACATATGATATTTCATATCATCTTTAATCTTTAATCGAGTCGAGAAAACAGTCTCAAGGCTGTGGACATCGACCTGGGAGTCACGGAGTACACCGTTTTTTTGTTCTTATCAAATGGATGTTACTGATTTAGTTGATTCACATGGAATCCTTAAATGCACATTTACACAAAACCTAATCAGCAAGCTCACCCTTGATATACATACAAGATGTGAATTTGCTTTAAAGAAAGGGGTTGTCGATAATTCATATGAAGTCGGATTCAAAGTCCTTGATGTTCTTAATAGGAAAATTCACAATTTTGTGGAATTTATGCACTTCAGAAAGATAATCAAATTACTAATTGGTTGACAAATTATGTCAAATCTCACCAAGTTGAATGGATGTAGAGAGAAGATTGACGAAAGAAAAAAACACTTATTCCAAGGTGGACTAGTGGAGAATTGCCAATAATAAGCCTGTACACACCTTAAGCATGCTCGTGCAACCAATTCTTGGTTTGTGGCTTAATTCTATTGAAGAAAGCACAATGGCAAAAAGACCACTACGCTACACTTTCACTGATATATCCACCCAAGATTTTGCTCTCGTATGAGAATGTCTCAGATTTTTATCTCTAAGAACATCTCAAAGACTAGTTTTGTCTTGTGGAATACATGCTTTTATGACAATATAAAAGACTAAATTGCAGTTAAAGTAACAGCAGTACATGCCGAGACAAACACCGGTTTACAACAATATAGACAGTCAACATTGTTGCTTACAGTTCCTCGCAAATTTATACACAAAAAATGGCATGCTGACTTAATTTAGCTTTAGCTACAAGGTCATTCAGCTCAGACTAGTTCATATATGTAGAACAAACAGATTTCTTGTCACTTTTTGTTGCATCTAGTCTGGGGAAACTCGTACAAATGACTATGTAATGAATTGACAACATCGGAATTAGGTTGACTATTCATACAACATACCATGTATGTAGCAAACAAAGGGTTCCCTTGATCGTTGTAACAATGCTGTTGTAGAACTTTGCATGAGGAGAATCAGCTTTGATTGTGTAGGCACTTTGTCTTTGCATTTCAATGCATGCCTTTGAAGACAGGATTGGTTCTGCATATGCTTGCTCCATACTCATCATACTCTGCTTTTGTGTGGCAAGCCTGCACAACCAAACAAGATTTCATATAAAATCTTACGAAAATAATATATATATATATATATAAGCAAATAAGATAAATAAGAAAAATACCAGGCATGGTAATTGTCTGATTTTTTAAAGTTCTATCATTGAGTAATAAAACTTCTAGTCGAGTGGCTCGTAAGGTTCTGTTGATGATTAGTGCCTATTAAGTCACTAATAGTTAAAAATAGTTATAACAAATGACATACTAGGCATCTATTAAAAATAGTTACCATGCAGGAACATTACAAACTTCAAAATTTTTCATGACTTATGCTAGAATTGATTGATTTGTCCCACGTATACCAACAAATGACACATAAGCAACATTTGAACAGCGATCTTTTGATATATTTGACAAGTGTAACAAAAAAGAGTATGTCATATTAAATAAGAGAAAAATACTTTTAACTTATTTTAGCTAGCTGGAATTTTAAAAAATATATATATTTATAAAATGGATAGAGTAGTACCCTATAAAATTCAGGAGTAGAGGCCAGTATAGAACCTCCAAACCAAACTGCAAATCTCTGGATAGGATGACTGACGACATTAACTTGAATAGGTTGTGACTGAAGCCAGAAAGATAAAGCAGTAAGTGCCGAGCATATGTATTTGAATGAGAATCTAAAGAGAACTTACTTTTACATCTCCATCAAGTCGAGCAGCAGATGCCACAATCCTTGCATCCACAATCTTCTTTAAATCTCGTTGCAATCTCCTGTGGAAGTCCTTAAACATAGTTGATCCTCCAGATAGTACTATATTCTGAGGCAAATAATAAACTTTGAATTATGGGAAGTGAAATTTTAAGCTTTTAGCAGCAATAAGATCAATCCAACCTTATACAAAGCTCTCCTGGTGTCAATTGGTGATGACTGAATGCATTTGTCAATGACAACAGGTAAAGGAGTAATAAAATCACTACCATAAATCTCAGGATGGAAAAAGATCTGCAAAATAAAGGAAAACATTGGACAACAATGCTGTAGGATAAACAGTACTAAAACGATAAAAAGAATAAACAAAAATAATAACTTGAAAAAGTATCTATCTGTTAAACAAGAATGATAAGCTTGTAACGAACTGGCAAAATTGCGTTCTTAACATTCTCATCAAGAAATTTACTAATTTTTCCACAAATTAATATAAAAAATGTGAAAACAAGTGGAAATCCATTAAAAATGGAAAAAAAGACATAATTACTCAATAATCAATCATGATCTAAATGACCATAAATTAGCGTCAGCATCTAACTGTAAAACATTCATTGTGCACATGGTTATCCATGAGCTGGCTTATCGATTAACAAAAGAAAACTAGCAGTGCTGGAGAAATAACAATAATCAGAATCATTTTTATATTTTTAAAGTAGAAGCTAAACGAAGAATTGTACATCTATCCAAGCTAAATAATGTTATTGGATACAGTGATTGCAAGTATTTAAGGTGCTCCTGTATCATAACTAACCAGGAACAAATCAGAGCAACCAAACATTTTATGGCAGCATACATCAACCCCCCAAAAAGATACTGACTTCTTATAGATATTTATACCCATAGTTACTGATTTCCCACTGCAGAATGGAAGGGAGAGTAATATAACTGATGTACAGTATGTTGTAACGTTTTATCAAAGCTTCAGATTTTTTTTCTAGTCGTATATTGTTCTACAAAAGTGTGATAAATCTGAAACTGTCCTAACTTTGGAAAGCCTCATCATAACAGAAGTCAAAGAATACCCTACGAAGCAATAATTACCAGAATAAACACTATAACACAAAGCAATCTGACTTCACGAGAGAAAATTTAAGGTAGGTCCAATTACTAGGACTCTGTTATGAGCTTGTGCTAAGGACCCGACATCCGGTTATACTGCAAGAACTAAGTGTCAAGCATTATGACATAATGTCATCGCTAATTAGCTTAAAAGCATAAGCTATGCTGAAAACACAATTTCTTTGTCCATTTGGAATTCCTCGACTGAAATTTGAATGATTTTCTATGCTGCCAATTTCTTCAAACTGAGAGCAGATCTGAAAACCATAATGCTTTAACAGTTTTCTCCTAACTCTTATATAGATATCATGGAAGATCCATGTTTCTGCTAAACAGCGTGTCATAAATATTCAGAACAGGGTAATAAAAGGAAAATAGCTAATAAGCATAATTTTTTATGGTCAATTTGTAGTGGTGAAGATTTTCTCATTAAATCATCATTTGAAAGAATGTCATCAATTTGGAATTTGCACATCAACAATCTCATACCTGCACTTTAACAATGGAAAGGCTGACGAAAACAAGTAGCAGGCAATCATGGTAGAAACGGTAATAGGGTATAATTTATGGAAATAGAGAATAATTTGATGAAGAGAGATTTGATCAATATCAATGGCATAGCCTCCAATTCTTGGACATAATAACTTCCAACGGAAGCCAAAACAGATGCTATATTACAATCATACGGTAGCTAAGCTGTCAAGAAAACATGGTAAATGGTACTCCACTATCATTTGTTGCAAAATTGATTCTGGTGTTTGAGAAGGTGCTTTGTCATGATTGCCAAACTGATGCTGATCAAATTTCAAAGTTCCTAATTATTTTCTTATTCATCATACTTAAGTGTAAATGTCCACTATCATTTGTCCCTGATACTGGTGTTTGAGAAGCTGCTAAAATGCATCCCCCTATTCTCATATTCTATTTTTGGTCAAGAGTACTTGCTCAAAACTCTTTCTGATTCCAACAAAAGAGGAAGAATTATAGGATGTAAAAGGCTATCATACAAGTAAGATAGCTATTCATTAATACACAAACAGTGCAGACACATGCAGGACCACAATCATTTTGTAAACTATAAATTGCATGCAACAATCTGACACAACTAGTCTTACAAAGATATATATTGAACAATAGCCATTAGTGATCTTTTCTCCTTGAATTTCATCATGTTTCCTTTCTAAAGTACACACACACACACACAGAAGACTAACCTACACCAGCCTAAAAACAAATGTGTTTGCAAGATGAACCATACTGATTTATTTATTTTCAAAAAAATAAAATGGTACCTTGCATTCTTGAAAAGATTGACACTTGTATGTGACAGAAATTACTTCATAAAAGAAGTACAATCTTGGACTAATTAAAATAGTTAAATTGAAATGCGTACCTCAGGACCAAGAAAGCGCTCATATCCAATGTCACAGGTATATGATGCCCCAGTCTTTGGTTTAACTCCAGTCCATTGCTTAGTGTACTTGCCAGGCAACCTGTCATGTTTATTGAACTCCTGAGAAAATACAACATAATTATCAGCTAATAACAAGAAAAAAGCTAATAATAATAATAATTCTTATCACTAAAGATTATTATGTAGTTTTTTCGCAACATATGTGTTACTATTGAATAGGAATCTCCATGTAGAAACTGTTTTGATGATGTTTTTCTTTATACAAAATCCTTACTACTCAAAGCAATCGTTTCAGGCTCTACCATACCAGTTGAGATTTTTCACACAGCAACAATTATTTTGTCATGCTTCATGAGTATATTTCATCTTAAATGATTAAAAAACTCACAAATTTTTTCTAATATTAAAATTATATAAAATTGACAGAATACTTGGACATAGATGACAAATATCTACCTGATATAAATATTTTATAATCCAATTATTAGTAAAACCATAAAGTTAAACAAGATGTTTGGACTTAGTTTATAGATCATTTAGTCAAAAGTTAAGGAGACAGCAACTCAAAAACTATGAGACTGAGACACAGATATACAAAGGCTAACAAATAAGGTATGCAACAGTTTCATGAAAAAATACGACTAATATATATATCACGAAAATTTAGCACATGTCAGCAAATTTTCGTTATTTCCCAACAAATGCATTATGGTTTTCAGATGTATGCAACAAGATAGCTTACAGAATAGGTGCCATGTTATGGGACCAAATATTTATCAAAGAACTTTCATCGTCATTTTATGCAAAGTACACACTACAGAATTTTGACTGCAGTATCCTATCTTATATTAAAATGAAGACATAATAACCCTAGCCGTTGTTAGTCACTTGTGTTTGTAATGACCCAAATAGTCTCACATGGTTGGATTGTTTGATAATGCTTGACAGGCTTCGCTATTAGTAATTTGGGATCAAACATTTTGAGCCCTTCTATCCAAGATATTAGGTGAATTGACCTATTCGCAAGAACTAATACCCAATGGGTTCATCTAGGGTTGCCACATGAAAAACCTTCATCTCAATTTTTTTCTTTCCATTTCCTTATCTTTCTGTTACAATCCTCTAACGGCCTGCTGCAGCACCATATATAATGTTAATATAAGAAGTATAGAACATCTTTATCAGTTGCATATAACCAAAGAATCCTACACATATGAATGTAACTATGTAAGACAGTATCAGCCATTTGCCACTGGGGGTAATCTAGTTATTATACAAGACCAATAAATGAATTTCAGCTCTGTTATCATATATAACATAGATGGAACAGGATTTGCAATTATTAGTTGGAAACAAGCTTAAGATGTAACTGCTTGCAATGTTTAATTTTAAGTGGAAAAGTACAAAACTAAAAACTTCCAAGTATAAGAATGATCAGTGGTTCGCTGGCAGTTGTGACGATAGGTTTCACGGTTTCGTTTGATGTCAATTTAAAGGCTTAACACCTGTCATGCTTTAAGCTCTGCCACCAATATACATGTTTCCAGACATCATTATAATGACACTGACATACTGATCTCCAAGAGCTATATACATATGTCACAAGTTAAATTTCGGTAATAACATTAAGACACAAAAAGTATTTGGTGAAATTTAATGTAATACCTTGAACCAATGCTGGTGCAGTAACTAAAACCATATACAGAAAAGTTAAAATCATGCACCATCCAGGAAGAGAAATGAGACGATCGAAATATGTTATCTATGTTTCCACAGAAACATGTCACAACATTAATTACCTTTACAATGTCTGAGCATGTGTAGCAATACATTTCTTTGACCTTTCTTGCTACTTCCAAAGAGTCTTCAGGTGGTACATGTTCTCCTCTTTCCTGTGTGAATGGTAGAAATATTTATAACAAATATATAATAGAAGATTAAATACCAATGCAATTCACTGAAACAAGAAACGACATGATTATCAGATCCTAAAAAATTAATTACAACCAAGATAGTTCATTCTAAAAATAGCTTGCTAAAAAGGAAACATTGACATATCATGCATTGATATGTAAAAAAGAATATAAATTCAGATGCCGAATCAACAGAACCAGAGCGTGAATGCTAACATTTTTTATGTATAAAGGAGAAAAAGCTCTAGACTATAAACTAACCAAATTGCTGGAATAAGATACATTAAGGGTTTTAGCTGCCTAAAATGACAGAGCATCTTGAACTAGATTAAATGCTTGGCAAAAATTTTAGTATCAAGGATTATAATTTCAGGTACCAAACTTGTACTGGTCGTTGGCCAGACTGGTGCAGGCCAGCTACAAACTGGCATATAACTTCGTATAATATTTACAGAGAAAATGAAAATGAATCAGGGAAAAAGCAATGATCAACCTACTTCCTTTTTTATATTTGAGAGGATGCTGCATATTAAAAAATTTTTAATTTTATCATCCCTTTAAGATTCTCATCCACTCTCCTTCCTATAACAATTCACATTAAATGATAAACTAGTTCCTGTGCTCATAATAGATACATTTTCAAGCCTTGAGAAGGAAGATAACCAGGGAATAAGAACCGTGAAATGTCTCATAAGCTTACAAGGTCAGTAGGCACCCCTCATTCTCTCATCTCCTCTCCGGTAATTAATGGCTGAAGATAACTCAAGAAAATAATGCTTAGGCATTGTTTTTGACATCATCTTCACACATGCATTTCACTTCACAATCTTACTAAGCAATTCCCAAGGCTATTAACAAGAAAATTTGGATTAAAATCGACAAAGTCAGTTGAATGTGAAACTTGTCAATGAAAGAAATTGATTAAGTCTCACAGCAGAGAGATTAGTAAATATGAACAAAATAAAACTATAAAGCACAGAATACCCTGAAAAACCATCAGAAGAAATTGGCATCTAAGTTGTCATGGGGTATAACATTGCATAAAAGAAGCCTGCTTTAGAAGAGGAGGGTGTGATAAGATTTGAAGACCAGCAAGAGCATCTTTGACAAAGCAACATCGGGAAGAAACAAGAATATGCTGACAAAACAATTTTACTTTTCTGTGATGTTTATTTCAACAATAAATTAGATAAATAAATGTTGGTGAGATCGTGGCATGTTGAAAGAAATATAAACCCAATTCCAAGGTAAGTTAACCAACCAAACATGATTATAGTATCATCAAGAACAACAGAATGGATATTGTTAAGATTAGAACAATTAATCATTGTTACTCCATTTGTATTACCTATCATTGTTCTATTATTTCACCTCCAGATATCATTTAACTTCACTGGACATACCTCAGTCACTTATTCTAAAGTCAGCATATGGGATTGATTCATGTACCAGAGTTCTAATTTTTTAAGAGACATTGCAGTTTATACTGTTCACTTCCCTGATGCTCATAATTGTATCATATTTTATGCCTTCTGTGGTGTGGTCACCAAAACGATACTGACTCTTAACATTGAGATTGAGGTACTTCTCGAAACTGTTTCTCAATAACCTTATTTTCCTCTTTCTATTGTAAACCATTTTCACCTAGACTAGGTAGTGAGCATTCAGATTAAAATCATTTTGACATAATTGGCTATTTTGTGTAGAAGTAACTCTGTCAAAATTTTCTATCTAGCTTAAAATAGAATGGATGTAATGTCAACCAAGGAAGTAACTCCGTAAATATTTTCTATCTAGCTTAAAATAAAAGGAATGGCAATGTAAACCAAGCATTGCCATATTACAGCCAGGTAGTAAACAAATTAGGGCATGTAACTTCAACATTTTTTCTCAAAACATATGAATTGACGAGAATGAGAGTGTTTCACTTGATTTCAATATATGACTAGGATGAGAATAAATCAAATCAAATATTTTCTTCGATATTTTAAGGATGATAAAAAGATTTTGATGGAATTAGTTGCATGTGATGACTGGAAGTAGGTTTCATTTGTTTGAACAACCAAAATCGATGTAATATAAACGGAAAGAAAAGTTTTAACTGGGAGCCTTCTACCTTCATAAGCTGCTGAATAAATTGAGTAACATCCTTGCCTGCAATAGGAATTGATTTGATGCTACTTCCTATCACATAACCATCAGCAACTGGAACTACATGAGTAGCACCATCTCCAACATCAACAACAACCCCTGTCATTTCACACTGAAAAATCGCAGGTCAACTTAAAACAAATAAGAGTAATGCTGTATTGGTCAACCCAAAATTTGCTACAAGACAAGTGAGTTCTGTGAGAAAAACTGGCATCGTACCACAAACAAACTTATTAGATCCATCACTAGTCAAAACGAAAGTTAGAAAAAGGATAAGATGTTGAAAAATGGTCCAGATACAGATGACCAGCTACATTTATCATAAGCTTCATTAAGAATCTACAAAGAAAGATGCTAGAGTAATCACCTATATCTTGGTTGAGTTAATAATTGGTTCATTTAGAAAGATGGAACGGTTGAGTTCCAGAAGAAACTTCATGCTTCTAATCCAGTAATATATAAAATATCCTTTTATTGTAATGCTCAAGAAGCAGGCTAATTGATATGCTAGATTTATTATGTATAGTCTTCTTCTTCGATCTTTGTTGGTGTTTCTCCCAGCATGGCACCCATAGTTGCAGTAATCTTATCCAACTGTAAACATTCAATCATATCCCTCATAACATGATACCGGGGGAGGGGGTAAAATGCAGAATGGATTTCGAAAGAAAAAACCGACAATACAGGTGTACTTGTTGAAATGAGTTTTTCGGATAGAAAATGAACGAACTCACGAAGAAAAGTCGACAGTACAATTGTATTTGTTGGAATGAGTTTTCCGGATAAAAAAGGAGCGCACTCATGAAAAAACTTTGATAAAAACAAAAAATAGCTCACCACCAAGTTTAAAATCACAAAAGGATACAGAAAAATCACCACCCCAAGGATAATAAACAATGATACAGGACTAAAAGCAAAAGACTCACTACTCAAGGATGCATCCAAGAGATACGGAGTTTAAGAGAGCACTCCAAGAGAGCTTCTGCCAATATCATCAGTTTCTAAAACCTTTCTAACCCTAGAACACTAAAATAAATACTAGTGCATAAAATAACCCTTCATGCATAAGGAATTACGAGATTTAAGTGTCTTACAGCTGATAACTAACTCATTTAATGCGTTACTTAGCTATAAAGAAAAGCATATTGAAACAGTTTTAACTTTGTGTAGGGAATATGCTTATGAGCTATCATAATTGAGTGGGCTGAGTTGAAAACTATGAGGCAACATTATAGGCTGAAAAATATACCATAGCATCAGGAAGGTCCATATGAGCAGATTATAGCAAATTAGACACTCTCATGTTAATCTCCCCTGGTTGAAAAGGACTTAAATCAGCCACATTAAATGTTGGGGACACACCGTAATCTTCATGTAGCTCAATCTCATAAGCATTTCTGCCAATTCTCTTAAGCACCTTGAATGGACCATCAGCCTTCGGTTTCAATTTTCCAAATTTGCCTGGTGGAAACCTTTCCTTTCTTAGATGAATCCAAACCAAATCACCTGCATCAAACTCCACATGTTTTCTGTGTTTGTTGGCAGCTTATATGTACCTCTCATTTTGCTTCTTAATGGTTGCTTTAACATCCTCATGTAGCTTCTTTATCTGCTTAGCTCTTTCATTAACATCTCCACTAAATTGCTTAGTTGTTGAATGAGGGACCAAGTCTAAAGGACCAGTAGGATTAGCATCATAAACAATCTCAAAAGGACTCTTGCCAATGCTATGATACATGGAACGATTATAGGCAAATTCAATTTGTGGAAGAATGAAACCTCATTGCTTAATGTTCTAGACAACATAGCTTCTAAGTAAGTTTCTCAAGCTTTTGTTCATTACTTCAGTTTGCCCATCGGTTTGTGGATGATGCGAGCTGTTGAAATTCAAAGAAGTATCCAGCTTCCTCTAAAGATTTCTTCAAAAATGACTAAGAAATTTAGAGTCTCGTTCAGACACCATAATTCTTAGAATACCATACATTAACAGTCTCCTTAAAATACAAATCAGCAATAAGAGATGTATCATTTGATTTATTGCAAGGAACAAAGTGAGACATTTTTGAAAATTTATCAACAACAACCATGATAGAATCCTTGTTCCTTTAAGTTCTTGGCAGTCCTAAAACAAAATCAAGACTCACTTCCTCCCATGGAGCATTTGGTACTGGCAATGGAGTGTACAAACTAGAATTTTGACTTCTTATTTTTGCCAAATGACATACTCAGTATTGCTTTACACGTCTCTTCACATCTCTGAATATCTTAGGCCAATAGAAATTTGATTAAACAAGAGCTAGAGTCTTATCCCTATCGAAATGTCCTCCCAAAACACCACCATGAGCTTCAGCTAGAATTACTTGTCTCAAAGAACAAGATGGAACACACAAGACATTAGCTCGAAAAAGAAAACCATTTTGCTTTGATCCATCATGATTCAATTTTTCGAAACAACATATCCCAAAAACACTACACTATGAGTAAAAAAATCATACTTTTTCATATTAGCATAAAGCTTTTGCTATCTCAAAATAAAAAGTATCTCTTTAAGATGAATCATATGCTCCTCTTCGGTCTTGTTGTACACCAATATATCATCAAAGTAAACCACAACAAAAGTTCCAATACATGGTTTAAGTATGTGATTCATTAATCTCATGAAAGTGCTAGGAGCATTAGATAGTCTAAATGACATAACCAACCATTTATATAAGCCTTCTCTAGTTTTAAATGTTGTTTTCCACCCATCTCCAGGCCTCATTCTTATTTGGTGATAGTCATTCCTCAAATCAATTTTAGAGAAAATATAAGCATCACACAATTGATCAAGTAAATCATCTAACCTTGGAATGGGAAAACAATAATCCATTGTGATTTTGTTGATGATGCAGCTGTCCATACACATTCTCCAAGAACCATCTTTCTTAGGCACCAACAAAGCTGGAACCACACAATGACTCATGCTCTCGCGAATTAACCCCTTTTTCACCAACTCATCCACTTGCCTTTGAAGTTCTTCATGCTCCTTGGGACTCATTCTGTATGCTGCCTTATTAGGTAGAATCGCCCTCGGAATAAGATCAATGTGATATTGGATGTCACTCAAAGGTGAAAGGTCATGTGGAATTTCTTCCAGTACACCAGGATTAGTTTCATGATTACTGGTGTCTCCTTGTGTTGTTCATTCGCCTCTACTACTACTAGAGCCATAACATGACCACCCTTGTCTAATTCACCCTTGAATTCACCATAAGACATAAAAGCACTAACCTCCTTTTTTGGTGCATTGATTTCTGAATGTTGTAAAGGAGCCAAAATAATCTTCTTTTCGTTCACCTTAAAAAATAAATATGTTTATAGTCATCATACAACACCCTTCTATTATAATGTCATGGTCTTCCCAACAGCAAATGACAAGCATCCATAGGAGCAACACCATACTATACTTTGTCTTTATAATACTTGCCAATAGAAAATGAAACTAAACATATTTCAGTTACCTTGATATCATTTCCTTTTTGCAGCCAACATAATTGATAAGGACGTGGATGAGGGATTGTATCCAACTTTAGCTTCTGCACTATCTCCAAAGATACCACATTCTCAAAGCTGCCACTATCGATAATCACCAAGCACACCTTGCCAAAAGAAGTGCATTTAGTGTGAAACACGTTCTTTCTAACCCAACTTTCATCCTCGACCACATAGGACACTTGTAAGCTACGTTGCAACACCATAGACAAACCATGATCAGCATAAGTAATCTCTTCCTCATCATCATCGTATTTTGGTTCGTCGTCGGCTTCATCTTCTCCTCCATCACTATGATCTTCAACCAAAGTTACAATCCTCCTATTTGGACAATCTGAAGCAATATGCCGAAAACCATGACATTTGAAGCATTTTCGACCACTTAGCATAGAAGAATTATGTGTTTGTTTGCTGCCAGCAGGTCCTTCACCCTTGCCTTGCACCTTCGATATCACCTTGCTTTGGACAGTAGGCTTGGAACTTCCTCCTTTTATATAGCCTTCTTTTGAATCGTACTGAGAACTCTTTTCAAACTTCTGTTGCTTTTCAACTTTTAATACCAACTTGCTCACATCATTTAAAGACCAATATGGCTGCGGTTGAACAACTTTAGCTCCCTTTTCATTTTCTCCTATGTCACAATTTTACTCTTCCCCTCGTGTTCTCTTTGTTTCTTCAGATTTTCCCACCAAAAAAATGCATTCCATCTGATTTTGAGTGACACAAGTTTTATGTCAAGCCCCCTCACCATACCCAAATAATAGGTCGGCTCTGATACCAAATGTCATGACCCGAGCCTGATGGGTTAATTGGTCTATCAACTTCGTTTAGTCTAAACCACTAACCAAAATACATAAGCTGAAGTTTATAGTAGTACACTCATCAGACCCTTATAAGTCAATCTTAATCTTGCTCACTTCCGATGTGGGACTAATCAGGGGTGTTACATTTTACCTTCTTTTGTTTTGGTAGTTCGTGAAAATCGAAAATTCTTTCTACTGTATTAAGCCAATCGATAAAGTCATCAACATTTATTTTACCTTCAAACTCTGGAATCTCCAATCTTGGGTTATATTTATTCTGCCACTCGTCTTGAACTCTATGTCTTGTCCGAAATCTTCTCGACTCCCTTGGAAGAGGAGGTGTATCGTCATCAGAAGTAAACTCTTGGACATCACTTTCATGCAGGTTGTTTCTACTTCGAAGTTCTTCAATTATTTCATTTTTTTCTTGTAGACTACGCAACAATCTTCATAGCTGCAGCCTTAATGACTCAGTATCATCTTCATGACAACTACCTTCGTCAACTATATCTTTTCCATTCTGGTTTGTCATGATCTCTAGCTTTTAGCTCGAACACCAAATTGATATGGGGGGGGGGGGTAAAATGCAGAATGGATTTCGAAAGAAAAAATCGACAGTACAATTGTACTTGCTGGAATGAGTTTTTCAGATAGAAAATTAACGAACTCACGAAGAAAAGTTGATAGCACAATTATATTTGCTGGAATGAGCTTTTCGGATAGAAAAAGAGCGAACTCACGAAAAAACTTCGATAAAAACGAAAAATAGCTCACCACCAAGTTTAAAATCACAAAGGGATACAAAAAAATCATCACCCCAAGGATAATAAACAAGAATATAGAACTAAAAGCAAAAGACTCACCACTCAATGACGCATCCAAGAGATACAGAGTTTAAGAGAGCACTCTAAGAGAGCTTATGCCAATATCATCTGTTTCTAAAACCTTTCTAACCCTAGAACACCAAAATAAATACTAGTGCATGAAACAACCCTTCATGCATAGGGAATTACGAGATTTAAGTGTCTTACAACTGGTAACTAACTTCTTTAATGCGTTCCTTAGCCATGAAGAAAAATATCTTGAAACAGCTTTAACTTTGTGTAGAGAATATACTCATGAGCTGTCATAATTGAGTGGGTTGAGTTGAAAATTATGAGGCAACATTGTGGACTGAAAAATATACCATAGCATCAGCAAGGTCCATATGAGTAGATTGTAGCAAATTAGGCATTCCCGTGTCACAACAACACTCATTAGTGGTGCTACAATGTTCTCTATCTTCACTACTAATTTCTTTGAAAGTTAGGCGGACACGAAACACATGACAACAAAGGAAGATTTATAGTCAAATTTTAATTCATCCAACTAATAAAGCAGCATTTGCGTATGCCTAAACAATTGAGAAGGTTCTTGAAAATGGAAGAATAATAGTTTTTACAGTGGACAAGTTCATCTTTAAGGCAAGAATTTGCAAAATTTGGAAAATAAATAAACGAACCACCATATCACTAACCAGACATGTTTTGAACTAACAAAATGCACAAATATACCATGAACAGTAACAAAGTGCAACACAATGCATGAGGCTCTTAATGTTCAGGATTTTCAGAGAATTAAGTGTATGCAACCATGCAACTCTGCATATATCTTATTAACACAATATCAGCTCAAAAGGCAAGCAACTGTTCTTAGGAGTTAGAACATCTATATGACAAGTGCCAATAGTCCATGCTAACTAGCACTTATATTTCGTTGACCAAACGCAGGCTAATAAAAGAAAAGGAAACGGGTGTGAACTGCAGAGTATGATGTACTCTGTGCCTGTGGACACACGTCCAATGAACCTGAATAGCACATACAAGCATAAACAAGTGCATGTTCCTCATGTCTATGTATCATGCCCTGATTTCAGAAAACTACTTATACGATGTGCACTGAGAACTGCAACATGAAAACTTGCTTCATGAAGTTATTGACAACCAGAAAACTATATACATATTAGCAAATTTTGATATCATTAGTTCCTAAATTGGAGATGAGAAACTGAATTTGAATGGTACCTTGTACAATGAGCACTTCAAGAGCATTAATAAGATAATATATATAATTTTCAACAATCAAGCATGACATGTAGATTAGATATAACCTTTGAAGTAGTGTATCCAGCAGCAAGGGCAAGGACAGGTTGAACAGCTATATACAATCCAGGAACATTAAATGTCTCAAACATGATTTCTCCAGTATATTCACGGTTCTCAGGGGCAGTAAGTGGGCTCTCAGTTAGAAGAAAATAATGATCTTCTGGGTCACAGCGCAAGTAATTGAAGATACATTGTTGCCAAAATCTTTCCATTGCATCCCAATTCTCCACCTGTAAAAGGGCATTATAAACCTAAGGCAACTATGGGAGTACATAAACATGACTGCTACTTCTCAATGATGTGTTTACCTGACCATTCCGAATTGGGTAACTAAGATTGTATGCCGTACTAAACCGAGAACGCATTAAAGCTTCTTCCCCAATTAAAAAATCAAGATCGGCCATTACACTTGCATTATGCTGTGCTAGCCAATTTCCCTTAGCAGAGCTCCTTGATTGATTTGAAAAAGACTCGTTGACAGCAACTACAGTAGGTATGATGAAGCAAGGTTCAACATTGCCAGCATATCCCATCTTGGTATACCTAAGCATAAAACATTTGGGCCAGTGAAGAAAGTAAAATAACAATAATAGGTAGCTCACCTCATAAAAATATAACTACTAACAGTAAGTCTGAGTAGATGAGCATGAAGATGGCAATCCCCTCAGAGTCAAAAATATTTCACGTGAAGATCCATCTAGTGAGATTTTAATCAGCAAAATTTTAGTTTGTCTGTTCACATTTTAGAATATCACACACATCAATCATAGTGGGTTTACACTGACGCACAAGAACACCGTTTACCATATGGTTTAGTTCGGTATTAGGTCAAGCCACCTGCAACCCAGCTAAACAATAGAAGGATAGAAAGAAAGAAACACCTTGAAAGCTAGAATTTCAAAGCTTTTAGAGTTGGTTTTTCATTGTTCAAAGAGATGATGAGAGCCAAAAGTCCGCTCTGGGACACAAGTATGTTCAAATCATTAAGGCTTAAAGAAAGATGATATTTTATTTAGTCTGATCAACTTGAATATGAATTTGTCTCCTATTTCTACAGTGTTAGCCGGCTCGTCGAACCATTAGAAGGCAGTAAGAAGATAGTTTCTGTTGCAGTGTTCTGAGTCTTTGTTGTACTCTTAACTTTGCTCAAAACATATGAGCATCTAAAGCATATGATTTTGTTGGCCTTGTGTTAAATGCACAAACCCTTACTAATCACAAACAACTTATCAATATGATACCAAAGTACTTAGAAGAGCAGTACTGTGTCGCAAGAATACCTTATCCATCAAGACATTGAATAATCAAGTTAGCAGACCTTTAAACATCCATAATGTCAATCCCTATAAGGTGCTAATCTCATGATAACATATTCACCATGCTTGCAGCTAGTTAACAGTCAGGGTCACAGGTAAAAAAATAGAAAGCTACATATTCACTGGTCTACTAGTCAAACAGGTCTGATATTTAGCTTGAGATTCTGACTAAATTCTTAGGTTGCTGGATTAAGTAGTTTCAACTTTAGGCTTCAATATTGCTGCTGATAGGGTTTCAGGCCAAACTCTAGGAGTCAATTTAACATCCCACTCTAGCATAACAATAACAAGGAAATGTCTTATGTAGCTTCTTCTACTGCAATTGATTCATCAGGGAAGAAAGTGATCACATAGCGAACTCTACATCTCTTTCTAGCCCTAAAATGCATCTACGTTTGACACAAAACTTCTAACTCTAAGCTGAACTTCCCAACAAACCTTCAAATCAATTTCGCAGCTTTTCTGTATAATTGAAGGAAAAAAAAGAACCATGAGCACATGATTCATATTGTCATCGTGAAGAACATTGGTATGTCTTGTTGTAGCTTTGTGCTTCTATTGCAATCGATTTATCAGAGACGAAAGAAATCACTTTGCAGATTCTTTATCTTTACTCTGACCCAATGATGCATCTACATTTGACATAATTGATTATAGCTTTCAATGTTTTCAACTCTTGAGTTCACAAAATCACAACCGTGGAATCACAAAGCACCGGAAAGAAATCTAACACCAGCACGTCAAACGCGTACCCGGTGCCGTTGTCGATGACCACCGCGGGCCGGGAAGCAGCGTCCATCGGGGAACCGGGAGCAGGGATCCGCTGGCGAGATCCGAGCAGGGGTCATGGCAGTGGTGCCATGGCAGCGGCGACTTGGATCCGAAGCAAGCTTGCCTTGGAGCAGGATGACGACAACTTGGATCCGAAGCAAGTTTGTCGTGGCACCCACACAACGAAGCGGATCCCGAGATCTGGGAGGGGCGTGACGTACGGCGCTGCCGCTTGCTTGCCTTCTCCCTCCTGCAGGCGTAGCTGCCTCCGGATCTACTGCTTGGTTTGCTGCGGAATCGCAGATGAAGACATCACCGCCCCCACCGACGCCTTCGGGTCGATTCCACAGCTTTCTTGGTTGTTGACTCTTTCTCTCTCTCTCCCTCCCTTGCGTCTCTTTTTGTCTCTTCCCTCTTCCTGTCGATCGAAACGGGCAGTAGTGGTGACAGCTAACAAATCTCGATCAAATTGCCACATTTTTTTTCGGATTCAATAGTAGAATAATGTTACGAGGCGTTGACTTGATTTTGGGAACCGGATGGGCCACGTTTCTAATCATAACTTAATTCTGCTCGAATTAAGTTAATAGTGTTTTTTTTTTTGTTCTTCTGAGGAAAATTGGGGACATGTGAATTCTCATGTAACATATCATTTTAATTGGAAATATTTCTTTTGGTGTTATTTAAAACTGTTGGATGCAAAAGATAAAACTACTAGTCCACGTAAATAATTGATCGATCTTCTTTCGGACTTGTGTTGGCAAAGTGTAATTGTTCCAGCCATGCTTGTTGCTCTGAGATGTTGAATAGTAATAATTAAATTTGTATTCATTCGAGGTTTTCACTTCTGTATGAACTTTTTCCCCCTAAATTTTCTGCATTTTCTCGAGATCGATATTTTGAATTGTTGAAAAAATAGCTCTTATATATTTATTTGGAAATTAATTGCTCCAATTGTCGGGAAAAAACAGCTGTGATGTTGGAACACATACCAAGACAATTTATATTATTCACCATTGTATTTCTTTCTAATATATCTTGACATTTGATAAGGGACCATTTGGTCGGTCGGTCATTGGTGTAGCTCATAGGCTCGTGAGGAATTATTCGCTTTGGGCGATGGGCATACCCGTATGGTTTTGCCCTTTCGGAGCATGTGAGCTCTAAAAGGTGTCTCTATGATGACCAGAGATGAACCTCTGTTGTCTGACCCCTCTAGGGGTTTTAATCTTCCCCTTAAGGGGATCGATCATACTTGGGTTGTTTATTACCGTCGATGTTGTACTCGGTTTAGCGTCGTCCCGGTCTTTGCGGGTCGGGGGGCACTCTGCGGGTGTCGTTCCAGCATTTCGGAATGGCATTGGGAGTGGCCGACGCCGTCCTGGCCTTTGCGGGACGGCGTGGTATTTGGCGGGCACCATCCCGGCCTCTTGTTGGGCGGCGCTGTATTCAATCGACGTCGTCCCGACTTTTGCGGGACGACGTTGTGCACAGTCGGTGCCATCTCGGCCTTTTGTTGGGCGGCATTGTACTCGATCGGCGTCGTCCCGGCTTTTGCGAGATGGCGCTATGCACGGTCGATGTCGTCCCGGCCTTTGTGGGACGGCGCTGTGCCAACTCGGCCTTTGCGGGTCGGCGCGGTACTCACTCGGTGCCGTCCCGACCTCTTCGGGACGACGCTATGCTTAGTCAGCGCTGCCCGACCTTTGCAGGATTTGTGTTGACTGAGGCGTGCTGTCCTAGGGTGCTAATGTGGTCATGAATAATGGTAGGTTCCTAAGATGTGTCATTGAAAAAATGTTCAAGTCATTTCCATATATTCCATAATCCATAGAATAAACATAGGTGGCACCATTAGGTTAGCTAGTACACATCCACTATTTTCTTTTCTTTAACTTAAATCTGAATCTTTCATAAATCATATCAAAATTTTAATATTCACATTTAGGTCCCTAGCCATAAACTTCTAATATAATATCATTTAATATAAAAAAAATTATTAAATAATCCTCATATTTACCAACAAGCATTTACTAAATTTTTAAAAATGGGGGATGTTACAATGATCGATGCGGCCGAGTGGCACGATTCGGGCGCAACATGACTGATGCGGCCGAGTGGCATGACTCAGGCACTATAGGACTAATGCGGCTGGTAGGACTCAGGGATTGTATGACTGATGCGGCCGAGCGGCGTGACTCGGGCACTATATGACTGATGCGGCCAAGTGACATGATTCAGGCGTAGCATGACTGATGCGGCCAAGTGGCGTGACTTGGGCACTATAAGACTGATGTAGCCGAGTGGCACGATTCGAGCACAGCATGACTAATGCGGCCGCACGACTCAGGCACAACATGACTGATGCGACCGAGCGGTGTGACTCGGGCGCAACATGACTGATGCGGCCGAGCGACGTGACTCGAGCACTGTATGACTGATGCGGCCGAGTGGCACGACTCGAGCGTAGCATGATTGATGCGGTCGAGTGGCACAACTCGAGCATAGCATGACTGATGCGGCTAAGTTGCATGACTCGGGAACTATATTACTGATGCGGCTGAGTGGCGTGACTTGCCACGTCAGTTTGTGCGAGAAATCATCGTCCTTCGATGGCTCCTACCTTGACGAGCAGTCTTTGCATTTAGCGGGAAGTTTCTACGTTTTGGCGGGAAGTTTCCTGCATTTTGTCACGGACAAACTTTGAAACAGGATGTTTGATGTAATGCTTATGTATGTTCATGTCTTTTGGTATGTTCATGTTTTGCACAGCATGTAGAGGGACGACCGATGGCTTAATAATCCCATTTTAGTTGGGTTTGGTGGCAGCTTTAGGCTTGTAAATAAAGGTTGTGTCATGTGGACACTTGTGAGAGATTTTCGGTATGTAGTGGATCATTTTGACCCTTTGTTGTGCAACTGTTCAGAGCTTGTAAAGTATGTTTATAATTTGCATTGTCTATGAAGTGTTTCTTGGAATGTTTGCTTGTGGATCTCGAGTGAGGCGTTTTCTCTATCCCGTTCTCTCTTTTGTGGGTTCTAAGGGACCATGGGAGGCTTCGGGGAGGCTGACCTTTGCAGACGGACACGCAAGGGTGCCGCACGACTTAGGCAAAACCAGCTAAGTCTGTGACAGATGGTATCGGAGTGGGATAAGCACTCATAGAAACACTTAGCATGCAAACGTGGGGAACCTAACGGGGCTGCGTTGAGGGCAATTAGCACACATGTGGCCGTTTGGGGGAAAACAGGCATGGAGATGTAGGAAAAATGAGTCGCTTGGAGGAGCAAGTATCTGAGATTGGCATTCAGAGGAATGGCCAACCCTTCACACAAGAGGCATCACGAGAACAGGCAAGCTTGGAAGAGTGCGGAGCGCACAAAAGTTGGCATGGTTGAGTTTGAGCTACGGCTCAACGTTGACAACTATACTTGATGGTGCTCAAGGCAAGCGAGACGCTTGGTAAAGGATGAGACCATGTAAGGTGAAATGAGTTGCTCAGTGACCGAAAGAGTTATGCAAAGCTCACAGAGATGAGGGGAATTGCTAACTCAAAGAATTCGGTACTCATACATGGGCTTGTATGCGGACAATGGAATGTTCACGGCCATCCCAAGGCAACCAAAACTCGGTGCCATGGAGCATTAAAACTTTCTCTTCGACATATGAAGGATACATCCGTAGGAGGCTGAAGTGTGCAATGAGTTCAACATGTTACTAGGCCTTGAGTGGTACAGCAGGGGCTATATTGACGTGGAGTCGCAATCTAGCAAGTGCGTTTGCAGGAGGCAGAACAATGCACAGTTTGTTCAGCAAATCAGAGTAGTCTAAGGGGATGGTGGTCTCCAAAACGAAGAGAGATATTGCTCCAATGGGATAATTATTCAGGAGGGATAAGTCCTGGCTCTCCAAAGGGAGAATCATGTGGGACGGACCTCACATGTTGAGGAGGAGTACCTCAACAAACAACAACTCCACGAAGTTCAATAGATTGAGCAAGCGGCGAAGAGTCATCGCATGATCTCGCTCGAGAGAATACATTGGTGGATGCATCGCGAGATCAAGTGGGGGAGCGACCCAAAGCAACACATATAAAGGCACACTTAGAGTTGATATGGAGATCAGACTCAAGGGAGGGTTGACCCATGGAATGGTGGGCGCGAGGGCCACCATCAACTCAATGCAAAAAACGAGGAGCGGAGCAACTTGGGTGTAACTTGGCGAAGTACCCAAGCCGTATGAAGGAAGCCAGCATAGAAGATGGAACATGGAGAAGAGGCACAGTGCTTTCCTTGGACAGAGGTCAAGGACATGAACTCTTGCAGAGGCAAGAGCAGGATCATGTTGTTCTATAGGTCCTTCATTCTGACAGAGCAGAGTCATCTTGCATAGTGCCAAAGACGAAGGGAGCTTCTGGGCACATACACCTTATCTCGGAAAAGCATTTGATGGAGGAACTAAGGTGACTCAATTTACAGAGGCAAAGTTGGGTTTAGAAGGCCTTGGCAAGAGGCAAGAGGATGCGGAGGCGAGTACTCTTGAAGAATATGCCACAGTGTTGCCATTCAAGTTGCCATGAAGGAAGCGGTGTGCAGCAGAAATTGTGTTGGTAGGGGCAAAGGCCCAGGATCCAGACAATGGTGCACTAATTACAGCGAAGTCAGGGGACTTCAGGAGCTACTGTTGAATCTCGGATTTTGATGATGAAGTCAATTGTCATTTGTTAACTAATCTATATGTTGAGATAAGTGTGCAGGATTAACTACGATGAAAGTAAGATATGCAGTAGGAGTTGCGCCGGAGTCAAGACAATGATCACGTTGGGAATTCGAGAGTTCGACGGAAGTTCAGACAATCGTCGGAGGTTCTGCGGGAACAAATCCGAGAAGTCCATGAGCTTGCCAAAGAAGCTCGTCGGAACTCGCTAAGTGGATCGTCGCAAGTCCAGGAGTTTGCAGGAAGTCCGCAGGAGCATCACCGAGGGTTCATCGGATGATCGACGGAAGTTCGCCGGAAGTTCGCCGGAAGCTCGCCGGAAGAAGCGATTGATGCACCGGAGCAAGTTGCAGTAAATATCTTAGGAAACATCGTAGTTAGCACAATGATTAAGTTGGAAATGGGAGGTGATCCCATTAACTTAATCTTGGGGCAATTGGGCCCCTGAAACACCCAAATTGGGCCGAATGGATCAACCCATTCAGACCCTGATTTCTGCCAGGCGGTTGAACCGCCCTAGCCAGGCGGTGGCACCGCTTGGGCTCAGTCTCCGAGCGAGACTGGGCGGTGCAACCGCCCCTGACAGGAGGTGGCACCACCGGAGCTCGGTCTTCGAGCTCTGGTAGGAGGTGTAACCGCCTCAGTCAGGCGGTGGCACCGCCTGAGCTCGGTCTTCGAGTTCTGGCAGGAGGTGCAACCGCCCCTGATAGGAGGTGGCACCACCCAGAGGCTCA